GAAGCACCTTCCGGCTGAGTCCTATGATAAGAGTGACACAGACGGAAATAAAGATCCCACAGCAGCCTCCAGAGCTATACAGATCTTGGACAGGGCCTTGAAAACACTTGAAGAACTACCTGAGGAATATAGGGATTTTTATGCTCGGAGAATGGTGTTACGCATCCAACAAAAAGCCTATAGGAATGATTATGGATAAAATAACACATTGTAATTCAGCAAGGTCCTATGAAAGTAGAAAATCGTATGTTAATATGGAAACTGTCCATGTGTACATACATACACTTTCTCTAAGACTAATAAAAACTATGTTGATAAACTTTGTTATAGATTAATGTTTATCTTGTAGATTTTTTTCTTGTTTTTCTTCATATGCAGTGAGTGCACAGTCTTCTTGATCTGGAGATGGTCTCTCTTCTACAACGAGGCATACATTTGCAGTGCCTGCACTTCAAACTCTACTTTTTTGGAGTGTTCCATTTAAATTTTTCTGAACAAAAGTTTTGGTATCTGGGCTGGGCTGACAGCATGTATGCTTAGGAGTAACTGCACGTCTTCCTGAATGCTACCTCGTTTACTAGAGTTTAGGAAAGCCATAGTGGTTTCTGAGGCAGTCCAAGAAAGCCATTGGTGGTGGTTGTAACAGTCATGGTTTCTTTTTGAGTAAGAGCCTGGTAATAACTGTTGGGAGTTTCTGCTCCCCCTTGTGGTGAAACTGAGAGTGGGCATGGGAAAAAAGCAAAAGCTAATCATGCAAGGTTAAGCTTAGAATTGTGCAGCAGTTTGGCCGCAAGGTAAACGATTTACCCCTTTCCTAGCTGAATAAGGTATTGTGCAGTAAACCTTGCTTGTCACTGCCCCAGTGCAGTTGGGCAGCATTGCTGTTTCTGCAGCTGTGAAACGCTTGCAACTAATGTGCCCACAAATCCATCCAGCTACAGTCCTAGAATCTGAAATTAAGTTCATAGTTCTGGAGTAGATGTAGAATCTATTGGGAGCAGTGTTTGAGGTGCATTATGTTACCATATGAAAGGGGGTTGCATCGCACCTTTTGGGATAGAGCCTGTTGTAGATGGCTACTTTTCAGCAGATTGCCCTGCTTACAAAAGACTTGTGAAACAAAGATGGGCATCTCACAGAAAAGATAGGTTGTCATCGCCCCTTTGAAATGCCGCTGACGTTATTACTTGTGCTATTTGGGGAATACAGCATTTATCTGACTTAGGTCAGTCTGTTACTTCTAGCAGTGTTTTTTGAGAACTGTAACCTCTTAAAAGCTCTTAGACTAAATAGATATGTAGTGTTAATAAAGTGCTGGAAAAAACTTTCTCCATAAGAGCAGGAGATTGAAACACTGCAGATTATTCTTCTAAACCTGTTCTTCTTGGCAGTTCAACACAGTGAAAATAGTCTGCTACCATGTGAATGGGCACCCGGCCATCTTAATGAATAGGCACGAATGGAACCAGCCAAGCGATTCTGATGGGCATCATTGTACGTTCTGAGGGTAGAATTTAAATTTGGGATCACAAATAGGTCTCCCAAATTTTTTGTTCAAAAACGAACAAGGATTGCTTGTGCATGCTGCTGAGACAGAATCTCTGTGTCTGTTAGGCTGGGGAAGCCTCTTGGCTTTGTTGGACTGGTAATGTCGAGGGCCCCATCTGAATTGCAGAGGTGTACGGAGCATATTCTTTGTGTGTTTGGACTAAATGGAGAGGCTCAGAAAGCCTGCAGGGCTAGACAAAGCTGTGTTCCAGCATTGTGCCTGCACAACTCTCTCTCTTAATTCTAACCACTGGCAGTTTCTCAATACGCTAGTACAGAGGAGTACTGTGCTGATCCCTCATTCTGCCATTTCTTGATTCTCCATTCCCAAAAGAGAGGTGCTAGCTTGGTGTTCTCAGGCGCCCTCAACACTCCAGTATAAATAAGGAAAGCTTCATGGAGCAGCAATCAGTGTATGAGCAATCTGCTTATGTCTCAGCTTGTGAGAAGTGCCTGCTGTGCTCCAGAGGGAAGCTGGGAGCCATTTCGGGCTCTTGGGGAGAGGAGAAAGTAAAAGGAGAAAAATCCTGTGGGTCAAAGGCATTCACTGCTGTGCCAGCTAATAGTGATATTAAGATTTTCAATACTTCTTTCACAGTATGTATGCAAAAAGTATAAATAAGATCTGTCCAGCCACATGTATTCAGAATGCCATTTTGAATATTTTTCAATGCCCCTTTTTATTTTGTAAGGGAAACTATTAAACTATTAATCTAAACATCTTAGGCCAAATGAAACCCTTGCATCCCTCAGTTGCAGTTATTAATGCTGAGGTAGCCCAGCAGGAACACTGCAATAATTCACTTGCTTAGGCTAGCGTAAAGTTTGGATTGGAAAGTGTGTATCTGGCTGGGAAGAGAGGGTCACGCTGAATTAAATGTGAGCCAAGTGCAGCTACTTCCTCTCCATGCTACCAACTTCAAAATGAAGCCTTTATTTGATTTTTATATGTCAGCAAATGAGGTTATCTCACCCTGATCAGCTGGTGGATAACCCAGCCCTGCCCATGCTTCTCTTCCACTGTTCTGTGAGAAATCTCTGCAATGATAGTGGTTCTGGGTTTTTTTCCCCTCCCCATGACCCCTTTGGTTTTCACTTCTCTAAGACTGTCAGTAAACCCCACCAGATGTGATGTAAGTGCATATTCAAGAAAGATCAACAAAAACTATTCTACGTAGATCAGTGGGAAGACCAGCAAGAGTAATTGTTCTGTCAGCGCCACCCTTTTTTCACTTTGAACCAGTTTCTTCAATTTCTTATTTAATAACTTCTATAAGACAGTTGTTCTGAAATACTATGAAAGAAGAAACCAAGCAGTTTAAAAATATATTTTCTTAATTTGAACATAATATGACTAGTGATGAAAATCTTGAAGTTACTGTGTTAAAAGAAAAAAAAAATTACTTGGTGCTTTCTAACCACTGTGCTATATGGTGTGAAACAAGCAGTGAAGTGATGAATGAATGGTGAAAGCATTAAAGGAATAACTTCCAGCTAACATAGTGAGAGAATACATGTAGCCACACTTAAAAATCCATTACTGAAATAACACAAAGAATTACAGCCACGGACATTTTGCGGAAGTTTGTCCCTTAGAGACCTAAAGCAAAATGGGATCATGCCACAAGAAAACAGATGAAGTTGTGGTAACAGGTATTAGAAAAATAAACACGGACCATCTTAAGCATTCAAAACAGCCACTTCAAGCAGTGTATTCAACAGAGGAGTTAGGTGATGCAGACTGCCCAGGACTGAAAGATGAGTTAAGATACTTAAATATAGTCAGTACCTGAAATCAGCAGTTTAAACTTGGCCTACCCCAAACTTTGAATTACTCTAAAAATTTGGTGACTGAGGCTTTTAAAATGTAAGTTCATTGCAAATCAACACCTGGAAAGAATTATTTATTCTTGGTCATATGAAATATAAAGGACGACAAATAATTTCAGAAGATGCTTTATACATTTTTCTTAATGTGGTTGCTGTGGAAAGAATCAAATGAAAAAATTCATGTCAAAATATTCTCTTGTCAAACTATTAAACAGGTCACTAGAAATCTGCCTATCATGTAAGTGCTGAAGATTCGATGTACCTAACTTAAGAACGTGTTTCTTTCCAGGAGCTACACAGGGTCTAGGTTCTAGGTTTTTAATACAAGTGTCAAGTTAAATGCCTAATGTGAAAGGGTTTGACTTGATCATGAAGGATCAGAAATACATTTGTAATTTTTTTTAAATATGCAGGATGAAACTATTTGCCTCATTCACGCTGTTAGACCCACAACAGGACTACTAACTTGACTAAGATGAGGATGATTTTATCACAGTAGAGGTTATATTACATATGGTATGATTCCAATATGCACTACTTCACAGCTTCAAAAAAATTCCTGTACAGACTTGATTCTTTTTTCCTCTGGCCAAAATACATCTTCCCAAACCTGAGACGTTTAGATGTTTCCATGCAGACAACATAGATGTTGAAGATACACATTCTGAGACAGTAACTTTTACAAGGGATTCTCTGTAAGTTAGTATCACTCAATAACCAAAGATTCTGGTGTTACTAGAAGGACAGATGAAATTTTAAATTTTTTTGGGGGACAGCTATCTAAGTTTGTGGTAAAGTTGCATGTTAAGATTTCCTATTTTGGTCAGACTCTAGGAATGGGCATAGATTCTGAGCTCTGTATGTGGTAATTCCTGAGAGCAAAGATCTCTTTAAGTGGCGATTCCTGAGAGCAACAAGAGCAGATTACTTTATTTTCAATTGTTCAGATCTGTTCCTAGTCAACATTTTTAAGAGCAGACTGAAAACTTTAAAAGAACTGCTCAACCATGTAAAACACGCAGCTCCACGTGCGATGCTATGTTCATACAAAAATGCTCAGAAGCTATCGCTTGCAATAATAACGCAGATCGCAGTTAGACAATTTTTGCTGTGAAAACATTTATACTTCAGCTGTCAAGCAGTATATGAATTGCTTAAAACTTCCATCACACAAAAGCAATGTATTTCTCATGATGGGGAATGAGAAAGAAGAGCTATGCAGATAGCCTGTAAGGGCTGCAATAGCTTTATCTGACACCCAGGCTTAGGAGTATTGGTCGGAGGGTAAACTCTGGTATGGGAGATGAGAAGAGCCTTGTTTTGCACGTCAGCACTGGTACGTCTCGACTGTTTTCTGTGTCTTGCAGCAGTGCTGTCTTTAGAAACAACTCAGCTCTGAAGTGCCAAGTTTAACAAAGGAAACTAACAATCGTGACTGAAAGTGCTCTCTGAAAGCTTACTAAAAGAAGGAAAATTTATTCTGAACCTTGAAGTAATGGCATTCTGCTCCTTTTCAAGTACATGAGATGTTTATACACATGAAGAAAAAACAGATGATAATATATTTTTCCCTTTTGTTCTACCAGATGCTTTTCTGGTCATTTGCTTAAGTAGAATTCGGCACTTCTTGGGTCACTTGGAAACATGTAATGAAGCCTTAATGACAGGAAACGACGAGGAAGCCATCACTACTTTATAACCCAAACTACATTATATGCAAAATGAATGCCTGAATCAGTTTTCCATGGTTTCCACAGTGATGTGCAACAGCTAATTCTGTGCAAGTGGTTTTTGTCAGCAGGAGGAGTGAATTATGCTGTTAATACTGATGATAGAATGAGTT